AAGGCAAAGGCCAGGTATGGTGGCTCACACCTGTAGTCCCAGCACTTTGGGAGGTCGAGGCAGGAGGATCACTTGAGCTCAGGAGTTCGAGGCCAGCCTGGGCAACATAGCAACAGCCCTCTCTACAAAAAAATAAAAAAATTAGCCAGGTGTGGTGGTGCATGCCTGTGGTCCCAGCTACTCTGGAGGCTGAGGTGGGAGGATTGCTCGAGCTCTGGAGGTCGAGGCTACAGTGAGCCAGGAGCATGCCACTGTGCTCCAGTCTGGGTGACAGAGAGACCCTACTGTCTTAAAAAAAAAAAAAAAAAAGGCAAAGTGAAGACATCATGAACTGAGCCCAATGGAGCCAAGGCTCTATCAGGGGAGCCTTGGGTGGAAGCCAGGCGGACTCTGGGGCACTGCTGCACTCCAGTGTGCTGCTGGGGAAGTTACAGAGAAGGAAGATTCGGAAAACATCAACAAGGCTCCCCTCACTTCTGGGCCCTCTGTTATTTGAACTCCCTCTTGGATGCAAAAGGCTGGAAAAGGCGCTCCAGACTCTTGCAGCACACACATCTGACCATGTCACTCCCCCATCAAGCATCTGTGCTTCCCCACTGCCCACAGGGCAATTGCTAAGACTCTTAATGTTAACATTCAAGGACCTTTATGTTCTAGCCCCAATCTGTCCCTATACACTTCTTTCTTACTCACTTATTCCTGTCTCCTGAAGCCCCATTCAGAAGGGCTCCATTTCTGTGGCCCCCAGAACAGTTGTTAGCAGATACCTCGCCTCCCTGGAGGCTGCGAACAGTGTCTTTGTTCTATACTCTGGTACGGAGCTTGTGACTCTCAGGCACTTAGCAAGTGAGTCAACCCAAATGATGACTCCGCATGTACGCCACCTGGATGGGCCACACGCGATTGGGTGACTCATAAGTGCTTCTGAGAGCAACATTGCTCGCTGCAGAATCTGACTGGCTCCTTCTTACTTGGCTCCAGGCGAGAGGGGTACATTTACTTTCTGATCAAATATTATTCTGATGCTCAAGGCATGCTTGATGTTTGCAAGTCAGAAAAGTTTAATTACATGTGTCATTAGAATGGCATTCTATAATAGCTCTGTGACTGAATTCATTAACAGAATTCTTAACAGATAAGACAAGACAAATTAATATTTTGTTGCTCACGAAAGCTTCTCATTAAGAGAGTAGTGAAAAAGTGATTAATATTTTGTTGCCAATCAAGATGTCTCACACAAACGACAAAGACAGGAGGCCCACACTCCTTCGTGCTCTGTGATCTCCCCGCCTTGGGTTTTGAAGGCCAATCAGCTTCCCCCTGTGCAGGCGTGTTTGGGCATCACCACTGATTACAATGCAGGTGACCGTATTTCATCGGTCGCTGAGACACCTCAGGCCGAGGGACTCTGGGAGCCTCATCAACCCCAGAATCTTTGCTGCATCAGTGTTGCAGTCCTGGGCTGTTCTCCCCTGACTAATTCTTGCTTCGAAAATGCAAGTGAATCCCGATGACCTGGCTCTAGCCCTCTTCAGCCTGATTTCTTGCAAGGGTTGCTTTCCGCACCGTCCCGAGTGGGGCTACTGCTTAGGAGCACCTCTTGTGTGCCAGGCACTGAGCTGGGTCCTTGACACACTTCAGCCTAAAAACACCCATGTAAGGAGGACGTCATGCTTTTTCTCCACAGGCTCAGAGAAGTCTAACAGCTCACCCAAAGCTGCTCTGGATTTGCTGGAGGTGGCGGGTCAGTGCCTCTCTCCCTGGGTGAATCAAGGCTGACGTGGACAGTGAGACTTCAGTCCCCACTGCCAGCAGCGGGGGCATGCCAAGGTCCTATCTGCCTGACCGGGGAGCCTCACCCAGCTGTTGCTGGCTGCTTGGTCGGGACTCAGGCTGCAAGATGCTGAGAACGCTATTTAGCAGCAGCAGGAATAATATGAATGATAGCAACAATAGTAATAATGATAATGACAGTGATAATAGTTAGCATTTATAGAATACCATATGTGAAGAGCCTTACATGCATATTCTCATTTAATCCTCACTGGAACCCTATGAGGCTGGTTCTATTATTTATCCCCATTTCACAGAAGGGGAAACTGGAACTTAGAGCAGTCAAGGTTACTAGACTAGTAACTTTCCAAGGTTCTAGCTAGTAAGTGGCAGACCCCAGGCTCATGCCCTTCACTAGCAAGCTGTGCCGCCTCCTTCCCTCAGGTAGGGGAGGTGTGCGTGTGTTTTGTGTGTTTGTACACATCGGGCTTGGACCCCTGCGGGGCTGGCGCTACCCTGCTCCCGCGCGTAGGGGTTCTGAGAAGCACTGGGCCCTGCCTATTTGCCGGCTACTGACTCAACCACAAGCAGCAAGTGTTTCCTGGGAGGTAACAAGGGGCCATTCATCTCTGGTTGCACCCACAGTTACCCAAATTGCTAACCTTATTGTGAAAAGTAGAAATGCAATTGAGTTGGTGCTGGAGGCATGTTTGAGGGAGGGGCAAACCACTCAAAGTAATTTAATTAACTGATGGCAAGTACATTAAGTGGAGTCTTGCCTCTGCTTTTATTTCTGATGTCTTTCAATGGAGCACCAAGTAATGCACATGAAATGCTCCCACAGACACAGGTGGACCTGTCTCAGTACTGATCAATCTTTACTGGCCAAACATGTTTAAAAGCTGGCACTGTACCTTGTGAGCAGGTACAGTGGAGGATATCACACTCACAAACATGCACCCCAACACAGTCCAGTCTTTACAGACAGGACACTGCTCTTTCTTGTTAAGTTCTCAGACAAGCCCTCGCCATCGCAGGCCCAGAAAATGAAGGGTTCTGCCCATCCAGCATCTGTCCAGCAAGCACCCACCAGGATTGTGCTGCGTTGACACTCAAAGCTGTATAGGATACTGGCTATGTTCACTGTGGTGGGAAATCACAAGGAAACCATCCCATCCAGTGTGACGAGGGTAGGGAAAGGGCACTCCCTGGCAGCGCTGCCCGGGGTGGGACCTCCAGAGTGGCCCCCTCTTTCCATCTGCTTCCCCCATGATCCCCAGGGTGTAGCTGAAGGGGCCTACAGAGTAGGAGACGACTAATTTTGGTGGTTCCTGCAGCATTTCATGCTGGGTCTCTCTCCCCACAAGTCTCAGAGTTGGAAGGGACCTTCAAGGTCACTGGGTTTAGCTGCCCTCTTGTGGCTAGCAGCATTGCTGACCCAGTCCCTGCTTGAGCTTGCATATGCCGCTTGGGATAAGGAGCTCCCTCATGTGGCAGCTCCCTCCCGTGGCGGCTCTCTCTCCATGGTGGGGCAGGTTTGATGGCTGGAATGGGGTTCCATCCAAGGGGCCCAGATTGATCTGTTGAGGTGCACCTTGTGCTAGTCCAACTCATGGGGTCGCACAGCCCAGGTCAGCTCCCTTTGCCCCAGCCCCTACCCCACCACCTTCGAGATGTTAGCAGGAACTGACCATTCATCCCACGGGTCTTTCTTCTCTGGGCAAGCATCCCACTGTGGACCAGCTGCCCTGTCCTGTGCCAACAAGGCTAGGGCTGCCCTCTCTTCTGCCTGAAAATTATATACCTGTTACTGTAACCCAAGACCTGTCAGCTGTCCTGGCAGCTCACTACATGGGTGACATCACTCTGTCTTCTCACATGAACTTCTGGGAAGCCACGTCACCTCTTGTGCCAAACCTGGACCAATAAATATCCTTGAATTATGCCACTTCTTTAAGTCCAATAGAAGGGAAGTATTGCTAATGTTTTTCTTATAGATTAATTCATTGAGGATCAGCAGGTTAAGAAATTACTCAAAGTCACAAAGCTGACGTGGGTAATGCTGGGACCCCAACGGAGGCTGCCTGGTTCCTTAGAGCACAAAAGTACCCCCTGATGGCCACGCTAGGCTGCATGAGCTCAGCTGCTTTCTTCCACACAGCACCACTTAACTCATCACACCCTTGTCCCCTCACCCAGCAACGAACGTCCCCAAGGTAGGTCCCCTCTGGCCTGACCTGGTTTCCCTCCACCTTCTCATCTGGCACCTGGGACTTGTCCTCCAGCCAACCCAGCCCAGTGGCTCACCTCTGCCCTCCACAAGGACCACCCCTTCCCTGCATGCAGCTGTCTGCAGCCTACCCAGCATTAGGGCCCAGAACCTCCTCCTAAGGTAACCCAGCCCGCTGTTCTCTCAGCTGTGGAGCCTGCTGCACTCTCTGCTGGCCTGTGGTCCATCCCTCTAAGCCCTGTGAGCGGGCCCACACAGCCCATTCTCAGGGTCACCTCCAGGCCTTTGCTAATGCAGCCCCGTTCAGAGGCCTCCTGTCCTGCCCATCGCATCCCTCTTCTCTTCCTTAGCCAGACATAGCTACAAGGCTGATGGCCACCATTCATCTATTTTCTGCTGTGGTGGGACTTGGATTTTCTGATACTGCCAAGCTGACAAGGGGCTAGAAAAGCACCAAACACGGGATGTTAAACTAAAACTCTCCGGCCCTGCCACTGCCTGTGGCATCTTACCCAGTGTACTCTCCCAGGGAGGTGCGCTTGAGCTCACAGTGCATTCCAAGTGACTTACATTGATGTCTTCCAAGTCCAGGAAGTTCAGGGTGAGCCCGTTGCGCTTCCAGATGATTGGTGGCCTCAGGTCTCCACGGACGGCACAGGTTAGCACTGTGCTCAGCCCCACGGTCACTGTGGTCACACTGACCCTGTCCTCGGGGGCGAGGCTGAGCTGAACCACTTCTGCAGAGGGAAAGGAGGAGGCACGGTCAGGTGCAGGCCCAGGGAGTGGAGTCTCAACTCAAGGTGAATAGCCATGAATTTCCTGGGTGGAAGGGGCCCAGAAGGGCTCCACGGCTCCCTGAAAATTGTTTACAATGTGCTGACTAAATGTAGAGATAGACACTTTTGCTGGGCGATGAGCCAAGACTTAGGTCAAATGCCCAATAGGCTGTGTGAGTCCAAACAGGTCAAGAACCATAGTTAATGTGCAGGGGACAATCTGAGCCATAGATTTGTATCAAGCCAAGAATGTGGGCTGCTAAGGCCAGGGGGCCCACCAAACAGAGAGACCAGGGGGGAAGGGGTGCAGCATCCTGCTCACAGCTCCCCTGGACTACTGGAGTCTGGGCCTTGCTAAGCGCAGACAAGGTCTGCTGAGTGAGCCAACAGGTTTCTCATCCATCTGGCGTCACTTTTAAAGGTTGTGCTGTCTGAAATCTGGGGAATGAACTGGCTGATCTTTGGTTTGTTTCTGTCTGAGGACTCGCTGAACTTTGGATTTGGATTTCTGTTCTGTGACCATGCACTGTAGCTTTTAATTTTCTGAAGCATACTTCAGGCTGCAGAAATTATTAGTCCTCGCCATTTTGCACTTGATAACTGGCATTAGGACTGATCATTCTTCAGGCAAATGGTAAGAATCTAAGATATTTCTCTGAAATCACAAGTTTTTTGAAATTCTCAGGATTTATGAAAAAATTAATCAAACTCAGGCTGCTCAAATGACCAAATGGGATCGGCTTTAGGGGAGAGTCAGAGGCCACTGATGGGACTGGCTCGTTTTTGCTCTTCTCCCAAATCTGTGCACTCAGGGAGGTTGGGGCAATAGCCAGAGGTGGCATGAGCTGCGGGAGGCAGGCTGGCTCTGGGAGCAGTGGGTACTATTTTGTCTATTCCCTATTCATGCTTACGACTCTATTGGGACCTGGGGGACCCCAACAGATATATCCCCCTGAACTGGAGCAAAGCAGAGTTGGGAGCTGAGCTCTGTCGTTCTGCGGGATGCTTGTGAGCTGTGGCCAGGCAGCAGCAGCCCCGCAGCAGCACATCTGTGCTCACACCCTCTTGCCCTGGGAGAGGGAAGAGGGAGGGAAAACAGCCGCAGGTGCAAGGCACAGCAGCGTGGCTAAATTGAAAGCAGGGCCCTGAGGTCAGACCCTGAGCAGCAAGCCCTCCCTCCTCCACAGATGCTGAGGGGCCCCGCCCTGGGCTCACAACGATGAACCAGATACGCTAGGTGCTTCATCAGTGCTGTTGGATGGATGGATGAGAAACGGAGAAAATGAAATAAAGAAGTAAAAGAGCCAACAGGCCGGTGGGGAGGGGACAATCACACTCAGGAAAAATGCGACTCACGGTGAAGGAACCCTCGAGGAAAGATAAGCACGGAGTGATGGATGCAGACGCAACTGGCATAGTATTTTACCAACATTAAAGTGATGCATTTCAAGTTCCCCCTTAAATCAAGTTCTGCTCGCTACCCTCCCACCTCTAAGTCATGAGGCTTATTGCTCAGGGCAGGAGAAGGCACTAACTCTGTAGCAAGACCCGGGCTTTGGAGAGGGGAAAGAGAGTGAGAATGTGCTAAAATGGTTTAGCTCCCACCGTACTCTGCGGGTCAGTAGGACTCAGACCTCAGCATTCCCCCCAGGAGAAGAGGAGATATCCTTTCCTCATCAGATGACCAAGAGGCTCCCCTGGGCCACGAGGCTTTGTGCCGCTGCTCCTGCCACCTGGGGCAACGATATGTGTCTGGGCAGAGCCAGAACCGCCTTGGCTCCTGGTATGGAAACAGGCCCAATTTTCCCAGAAAACTGAAGCTTGAGAAACTTCAATTTGTTTTATCTGAGTTCTTTTAACAGGAAACCAACCACCAGGCCTCTAGATTACTGCAGCCGGACAATGAGACACACACCTGCTGCCTGTTGACCATCTCCTGTCTTACCCCTCCCTAATTCCCCGCTATCTAAACTCTGAACTTTAGTCAGAGAGATGGATTTGTGACTAGTCTCCCATTTCCAGGCTGATGTCACTGAGATTAAAGTCTTTCTTCCCTGGCAATACTCATCCACTCCGTGATGGACTTTCTGTGAGGTGAGCAACCAGACGTAGGCCGAACCCCTGCTGTTCAGCAGCATCATCTCTGTACCTGAGAACTGCCTTGGGCTGCCAGACCAAGGTCCAAAGGGAAGTGCCCCTAGCCTCAAGGGGCATGGAGGCCAGTGGTGGCTGTGGGGGGCCTTGCTTGGGGGAGCCTCCTGACCCCCGAGTCCACCAGGCTGTGAGCCCAGATCATGAGCACACCCAGGGCTGAGCTCAGCTTTGAATGACCTCAGACAGGGCAACCCAGAGTCCCTTGCCATGGGAAGTGAGGCTGCAGTGCACCACCACGCTGCTTCCTTGGGCACTCAGAAGCCAGCGGGGAGAGCAGCTGGGACCGGGGCTGGCGGGCGGGGGGTGGGTGTGGGGTGGGGGGGGTGGGGGGGGTGGGTGGGGGGGGGGATGTGGGTGGGGGTGGGGGTGCGGGGGGTGGAAGCTAGAGACAGAGCAGTTTTTAGACAGAGCACTACTTACGTGGACTGTTAAAACTGTCAGCTCGCGGTAATCTTTACAATGGATTGAGCATTTAGTTGTGTTTTTCTCCCAATGGGGTGAGGCTTGTGAAGTCAGGTTAGTTACAAAAGGAGCCTAGATTTTCCCTGCACGTCTTATCTGTGGTCAGACTTGAAGGAAAAGACCAATTGGGCCTTCAGGGAGGGGCTTGGAGGCCACAGCAGGGCTTCCCCTGGGCCCTAGAGATCCGCTTCTCAGGTGTGGCTTCCCGGCCACCTGTATCATATCTCTGGGGGTGGGTAATTAAAACACAGATTCTTGCCCCTCTACCTCAGGCTGATGCAGACTCTCTGGTGGGCTGGGTGGACATCCAGATTTTAACAAGCATCCCCAGGGGTTCTGTGGTGGCCTGAGAACTACTGTGTTATAAGATGAGAAGGGCTCTGTGTACATAGAGAGGGGGAATGCTGGTGGGAGACAGGGAGACGAGGTAGTCTGGTAGGCTGTGGTTTCCTGGGGCTCCAGACACAAGGCTAGGAGCATGGCCCCTCATTTGGAACACGGGACTGATGTGAAACGTAGTATGCCCTCCTCCATGTGGCCCCAAAGTTATATATTCCAAGCAGCTCTAGAAAAAGGTCTGCGGGAGCCTCAAACATGGGGCTAATAGGAAACAAAAATCCAAGTGGGAGATGGAAGCCTTCTGTGTCCCTCTGGTCCTGTGCCGGCTGGGATAACTGGCTGCTGCATCCTCTCTGAGTTATTCCCAGTCATTTGTATGTAGAAGATGTGCACTTTGCACAGGAAAAACTCATGCAAAATTAGAATGTGTGAATACTGATAGAACCATCGTAATTCTGCTCCTGTCAGCTACGTGAATATTAACCAAACAGCAAATATTTGGATCACTTAAAGTTTAATTAAATGAATGTTTTATTGGATTTAATTTGTGTCAATATTCCCCAGCTCCTTTCACAATTCTGAAGGGATTTAAGGCTACTGAGCCCTCTCCTTCCACCCTCACTCCCAGTTATTTCCTGGTCAACAAGCCTCCCCCTGGCAGGTCCTCCTTCCTTGCTAAGTGGCAAGAGTAGGACTAAGTGGCTTCCCAGGGTGACTTCCAGGGAGAGTAAAAAATAAGACAGCATCATGTGCTGGGCCCCAAGTGAGCAGGGCAGGCCACCTGGCCCCCAGGCCTGGCTCTGCTACTGACAAGCTCAGTGGCCTTGGCAGCTCCCTTCCTGTCACTGGGCCTCAGTTTAGACATGGATACAATGAGGGCTTGGGCCCCCCCCTCGCTTTTGCCTCGGAGCCGATTATTCTATGTTGATGTCCCCGGAGACCCCCTGAGTCTTGCAAGTGCTCCCACTGCATCTTTTCTTGCCCCTAAGTGTGATCTGCCCCTGTTCTTTGCCCACTTACCCATGATGGTAAAAGTGACACCTCCAGCGGCAGCACCAGTGGGTGCCAAGTCCCACAGAGGCTTCCCCCCTGACACCCTCTGAGGACTCCCCTGCCCCACCCCAGGCCCCCTATAGCCTCCTGCATGGTCACCCCTCCAGTTTGCCCCAGCTGCCTGCAAGTCTCTTGTTGCCACTGGCAGAACAAGGTACATCTCAGCCCTGCTCAACAGCTGCCAATGGCTGCCTATTACCCACAGATCACCACATAGAATCCAGAACAGTCCCCAGTCTTGCCCCTGCTGTGTCTCTAACATTTTTAACCACTGTGCCAGCTGGCTCCCCATGGCATTTGTGTCTTCAGACCTCAGTGTGGGCCTGCTTGGCACCTGCTACTTGCCCATTCTGAGCTCCTCACACTGTTGGCCCCTACCTCCAAGATGACCTCATGGGATGTTTCTGGGACCCTGAAGTTTTTAATGTAAACAAACACTTGGACAGATAGTAGGTGAAGAAGATTGAAAGAGACTGTCCTGGTGAATTTATCAGAACTTTTTCAGGCTTAGTAACAGAAACACTCAGAAATGCTCATCTATTAATACCTTAGGGGAAAAAAGGTGGTTTAGTTCCCACAATGGGAAATCCAAGGGAGGTGGAAGAGGTTGCAGGCAACCAGGGCCTTTGACAGTGGCATTCTCTACTTGGTTGCAAGATGTCCATTGGTGGCCCCACACTCACATTGTTTCTGTATGTGGGATTCCAGAGGAAGGGACCAAATCTTGCCTGTAAGCCCTGGAAAAAAGCATGGGGGAGCTCTGATTGGCCACATACAGCTCCTGTGTTCTTCCCTGAAGCAAACACTGAGGGCAAGAGGATTGAATATTGTGCAGGTACAGGACTGATTGGCCCATCAGGCCTGGGCTGAGTGGCCACCTCCAGGGGCAGGGACTAGGTGTTTGGGCTGGGGTAAAACGTCTCACGGAAAGGGTATACTGGGCAGATCGACACCCTGTGACCATCATAGGGATGCAGTGAGGGCCCCCTCCCTTCCCTCCATCTCCATCACAACTGCATCAGGAAGCCTGGGCATCGTGTGTGATCAGGGCAGATAGCCGCAATCATACAGTGAAGACCGTAAGAATCATCAGAACTGAAACCTGATCTAGGCTGCTGCAGCCCTGCCTCAACCCTGCCCCTTCTCTGGAGAGTGATGGGGGCAGCTTTCACAGGGAGGCGATGTAGCCCAGCTAAGCAAACTCCACCATCCTGTTGAGCCTCACATCCTGATGGCGAGGGTCTGGAATTTGTGGAGATGGCCTTTTGTCGGTGTTCAGTGATCACACATCTGAACCTCACCCGTGCTGGCCACATCTGCAGGGCTGTGGACCAGCGAAGTCCCAGGCCTGGTCTCTGCTCTGGTGGGGAGCCAGGTCACATGAGAGGAAGGTGAAGATGCCACATGCAGCCCTCCAGGGGACAACGAGTGGTCCTTCCAGCCCCTGGCTGTGGCTCCAATGCCCCTGTGTTGACTGACCATCTGTGGGCTCATTGGCCACTATATGGGAAGGTTTCCAAGGTCCCTGGAAGACCAAACGAGATACGCCCAGCACTCAGAGTATGATCAGGGGTCAGTAAGAGAGGGCTCGGCCAGACACTGTGTCTGGGGTGAGAATGTGTCTACACATAGAGGCTGGTGTCTTTGGAAAGAGAGGGCTGGGCTGGGGGTCAGAGCAGCCCATCAGGGAGCTTGTCTGGCACTGCGGGGCGGAAGTCTGTGCCCACAGAGAGACTGACGCCCCGCTATGAGAACTGGCATTGGAGAGCTGCTCTGTAAGTAGGGAATCTGAGGAGGGCAAGGGAGTTGGGGGGTTCTCAAAGCTCAGGGCGTCCCATGATATCCTCCTGGGATGAAAACACATGGGCCACACTGCAGTGATGGCCCATCAGTGTGGGTTGGTTAGCACAAGACAGAGCTTCCTGGGCCACTAGCTAGGCTGCATGTCCCACAGTGGGATTCTGGGCAGAGCTGTTTGGTACTCTGGTGCCTAGCACAAGGCCTGACATACAGTAGGTGGGCTCAAGGCCATGACCTGTCTCTCTTGACTCTTCAAACCAGTGCAGTAGCATACCCTTGGTTTTCCAGACATGAGATGCCACAAACACCCGTCCTCACCTTTCTCCCTGAGTCTTGGAGCTTGGAGACAAAGGGCGGTCACAGGGAATTAATGGGCTTACCATAAGCAGGCTAACAAACATCCTTCCTGAAAGCAGGAGGCCATAACATTTCAGTTGTTGGAGAATTGGGTTTTAGTTCCTATTACAGCTTTCCCTTAATCTCAGGCGCTATTTCTCACACTGACTTGAACTCGATGAGACACTCATAAACCCATCAGCACCCTCTCAAACAGGATTCTGGTGCTTTGTAGCGATAGAAATTAAATTTCTCAAATTCTTGTCAAGCTGGTGTTAGTTTTCTTATGTCAGAAACACACTAATGGAACACATTCCTACTTGGACATTTGCCATTTTTCAAATGATGCTGTTGGTGAAAAAACCCTGTCAAAAGCTCAGTAACCTGCCTGCACATCAATATTTTTGACTGAGCCTCGGAGGGCAAACTCAGGCTCAGGGGCCTGCTTGGGAATGAGGGCAATTTGGAGAGAGCACAGGCCAGGCGCTTAGACACAGCTCTGTAACTGCAGTCTCTTCCCACATTGCTCTCCCTCTAAATTAATGTGCTTCCCTGAAACAAACCCCTCAGGTGACCTGGGTGCCACCAAAGAAGCTGTGGCATTGGAGTGACAAAGCCTATTGTATCTGGTCCCATCCCTGTGACCAGAGCCACACTGTGAAGTTGGTGAGAAGGGGAGGAGCCAAGGTGGAGTGCGCATGCCCAGTGTCTCCTGACCAAATAGGGCAACATCCCAACATCTCCTGGACCTTGTGACTTTGGCTGGTGTTTACAGAGTGAAGCTGCTTTGGCATGTCCTGGTGGGCCGGGCAAGGCGGGTGGGAGGGATGGTGTGCTTTTCGTCTCCTCTGTTCCCTCTACCGGAGATTGTCACTCTGGGATTCTTTCAAATAACTGCTGAATCTTTGTGGATGGGAGGCTGGGGACAGGATGTCTTAAAGCCTTTCATCTTGACATTCCTGTTTAGAGCACCAGGGTGCATCTAGCCTGCACAGGTGCCTCTGTATTAGCCAGACTTGCTCCAAAGCCATACAAGAGAGCACTTGCCTCTGTCCCAAATCTCCTGTTTCCTTATGTGTAACCGGATTCAATCTTCCTGCCATTGTCATTCCCTCTTGCTGGCTTCATTTTGGGGATGGCAATAAAATTACTAGTTAATTACCTGCGGGTCAGTGGGTAATTTACTTTTTCAACTGGCCTATGTTGCTTGGTGTTGCTTCAACTTTTATTACAGTTTAGTTATCAAGTTCTGCTCTCTGGTGTGAGCAAACACCTTTGTAGGCTGCATAAAGGCAGAGACTATATCTGTTTTATTTATGTTGTATCCCCAGCACCTAATACAATGCCTACCACGCAGAAGGGACTTAATAAGCAGTTTTAAGCAAGTGAACTACCAGGGTAGTGCTCAGACAACAATTATTTATGGGGCTGGTACCAGGAGCCAGGATACAGTGGGAATATACTGGCGAGAAAAACAGGCCCAGTGCTTGCTAACCTGGAGCTCATGGCTTAGCAGGGAAGACAAGTGTCAAGTGGGGAGGGAGAGCAGAGGCCTGAACCTGTCTACAGACCCCAGGTTAAGGGCCCGTGATGCCTGTAGAGCCTGGTTGCCCTCTTTCTTGGTAGAGCCCTCCCTGTGTGCCCGGCAGACCTGTGTCCTGCTATCAAGACATCCCATTCTGGTGTAGTATCCTCCTTGTTTGCAGGAGGGGCCTGTGCAGGGGCAGGGTTACCTGGGCATCCCTCTGGGCTCTGGGGTTCCATTTAGCCTCCTCTGGCCAATACATCTTTTTGGTTTTGGGAAAACTAAACCTCAATGTGACTGCTATGTGCAGACGAAGAGGAAGTTAGAGCAGAACTCAGTGCCCAGGGGCTGTGACATCACCATCCTGGGTGTCATGGGGTGCCACAGTGTGGCAGGCAGGAGAAGCATCCATCAGAAGGAGCAAAGGGTCCGTGCTGAGGTGGACAGCACAGAGCCTCCTGGTCAGCAGGGGCATGGCTGTCACAGTGCTGCGTACCAGCGCTTCCACCCCCGCTGGTTCCTGTGTGTGTGGGGGGTAGCCTTGGTCAGCTCAGCCAGTCTATGAGTCTCTCCCACCCTACCGAGTCTACACCCAAAGATGACGGGCATACCTCTGCTCAAGATATTTGCAAAAGGAAAGTATCTTAACTGCCTATTACTTTGGTGTCTTAAGGGAGAAAAGAATGTATTACCTTATATAATTATACAGAGCTACTCAGATTTTACAAAAATTCATACAGATCTCTAAGGTTGGGTCCAGAATCTCCTGAGCAAGTCAGTGGAGAAGAGCAAACCGTTTTTACCTAACTAGCAAGAGGGGTCCATGCTGTGTGTTTCCAAATGCCAGCTCATCTTCCATTTCCTGTGCACTCATCATGACTATTTCCTGGCCTCTCTTGGAGCCAGAATGAGGCCATATCATTGGGTTTGACATGGTAGGTGATGGGAGGTGACCATGCCTGGCCACACAACCTCTGTGTCATTGTCTTGGTTAGTTTTATGTGTCACCTTGACTGGGCCACAAGGCACCCAGATACTTGTTCGAGCATTATTCTGGGTGTGTCTGTGAGGGTATTTCTGGGTGAGATTGACATTTGAATCAGTAGACTGAGTAGAGCAGATCGCCCTCCCCAGTGAGGGTGGGCCTCATCCAATCTGTTGAAGACCTGGATAGAGAAATGAGCCTGGGTGAGAGGGAACCCTTCCTGTCTCACTGCGGAGCTGGGACATTGGTCTTTTTCTTGCTTTCAGATTGAAACTGAAACACTGGCTTCAACAGGAGCCAATGTTTTATTGGTTCCATAGAAGACATATACATCTTCTGTTGGTTTTATTTCTCTGGAGGATAACACAGTCATCATCCATGCTCTCCCCTCCCCGCCTTTGGAGGCTGTGTGGTCATGCATTTGATGAGAGTGAAGAACACGGTCTAGTCACTGTTGAGGGAGAGCTGCCTGACCCCATCAGACATGATGAGGATGGGAAACCAGTCTTTACTGTATTACACTACTGAGATTTTGGGATATCTATAGCAGCTGGTGTTGATTACATAACACACCCCCCTCAGGAGGGAAAGAAATACCAGTTAACGTATTTCCACTGAAGAAGTCATAAGGAAATGGGAAAGAGACTTTTGAGAAGCCAAGTCACCCAGGTCAGGAACCTTCTGAGAATGTTCTAACAAGAGTAGATCCAACTTTGGCTCCAATCCCCAGAATACCCTGTGTACACCTCCTTCACCCCACAGCTGTATCTGTTGCTACAGTGTCCAAACTGCTGGCCTGAGGGAGCAAGGGCTGGGGGGAGGGGGTGTCTCAGATGGGCTGGCAGAGAACGTGTAAACAAATTACACAGTACAATAAGCATTATGGATAGAAAGAACAAGATGAGAGAACACCAAGAGAGTAGCAGGGGAGGGCTATGAAGATGTGTGTGTGTGTGAGGTGGTGGTGGTGGTGGTGGTGGTGGGGGAAGCCTCTTTGAGTAAGGAATATTTAAATGAAGATCTTTAAAATGAGAAGAAACCAGCCAAGACAAGAATGGGAGCAAGGATATTCTAGTTAGAGAAAACAGCCCATACAAAAGCCTTGAGGCAGGGTGGCGGCTTCGAGTGCTCTGGGAGCTGAAACCAGACCGGTGCGGCTGAAACACAGGGCACAAGGCAAGGGCATGTGGCACAGATGCGGTCAGGGGCAGGAAATAGCCAGTTGGAGTGGGCAGAGCAAGGTAAGGACTGATGACTTTAATTTAAGGGAATGAAAAGTGATCAGAAGGATTTCTTTTTTTTTTAGGAGTCTCGCTCTGTCACCCAGGCTGGAGTGCAGCGGTGCGATCTCGGCTCACAATCAGGATTTTGAGTCAATCAGGGATGTGACATGATTTGCATGCTGAAGGACGCTGTGGCTGTTGTGTGAATAACGGACTGGTGGGAGAGACGAAAAAAATGCAGGGGGACCATTTAGGAGGCCAAGGTGGTGGTTCAGGAGAGAGACGGGTGGTGACTGTGGAGATGAAGAGGAAGGGACAGGGCTGGGAAATAGTTTGTATGGGGTGGGGAGAAAAGAGAGTGTCAGGAATGACTCCCGTGTTCCTGACTTGATCCTCTTGCATAATATGGTGTGATTTCCTGTGATGAAGCAGGCTGGGAGGGGAGGTCCAGGGACCCCACACAACCTTGAGGTCCCATCTTTGTCTTGATGATAACCCCCTAACCCTCCCAAGGCATTTGATTTGAAATGTAATTTGGGATCACTTTCTTGGCCTCCTCCAGTGAATGTGATTTGACGATGATTTCTAAACTGTGGCATTCTTGTTATTAAAAACCCTCCTCTAAGGAAGCAGAATAGATGCAAGTCTTTATCATCCGGGTCCCTGTCCTCCCAAGTTTCCTGGGGTTGGACTGTGTACGGCGGGCCGCTCCAGCAGCAGGAGGCAGACACAGAGCCTCCCCTACTGCATCCCTTCACCATTTCCACCCCACAGCACAGGCTGTGCCCTCTCCAAATGGGGGACTGTGCTTCACATGCAGGAAGGGGAGAAGCCACTGCGTCCTGAAAGAACATGAATAAATATAACTTGTTTTCTGTTTAATTATCCAGTCTCCTGAGAACGCTCAGTCATGGCTGTGTTTTGTAAACAGGCATCTGCAGACCATTTTGAACAGTTTACATCAGTGTATTTGTTTTTGATTCCAATTTCCCGAGTGTGCCATGGTGCTGATGAACTCCTGATGAGGGGTTCCTGTGCCAGCTATCAGCTCTGCTGCTCCCAGGGACCACGGGGCTCCTGCTGCCTTCTTTTTGTAAAGGAAACATTGCTCACAGCCTCCTAGCCCCTCTCTACGCATGGCTCCCAGGGACCTCCGTCCTCTACCTCCTGGTCCAGGAGGAGCCGTGATCAGACTCTGCTCCTCACTATGGGAGACTCCTGGTATCCTGGTTTCAGGGCTCACCTGAGAAGCTCTTACAGCTTGTTTGCTGAATATTTAGTAACCTGGGTAGGGAGTTCAGCTGAGCCCAATTGTTAGAAGGGCAGGGGCACTGGCCCCTGATGGCCTGGTTTAGACTTTGGCAGAGGGGTTCAGGAGCGGGGTTTGGAAAAGCCTCATCCCTCTCCAACTGATGACACTGCGGGCACGAGCAGAAAGCGGAGACGTGGAGTAAGGAAGCCCTCTGAGTGCAGTGGTAAGAAAGGAGGCTGGAGATGTTGGGAGGGCTGGCGGGGCCTGTGGTCTGGTGAGGAGTCTATGTTTGATTTTCTTACAAGCTGTTGTAGGATTCTATGCAGGATACTAAAATGGTCTGATTTACACCTTTAAAGACCATCTGTGTATTGGTTGAGATGGTCTTCAGCTGCATTAACAGAAAATCCTGACTGGAAATGGGGCTGGCTAATTCGGAAATTCGACTATCTCCATCACGAGAAGGCCCCAGTGCATGTTTTCTGGGCAGGTGAATTCCATGGTTCCAGAATGTGACCAAAGCCTCAGGCTCTCTCTTTTCTGCCCTGCAGTCCTCAGTACGCTGCCTTGATGCCCGTCGGGGTTACTGGGAGGCCTACAAACAGGTGGAGGCATCACAGGTAGGTACACATCTGGTGGAGAGGATGTGAGTTTTAAGAACTATAAACAAAAATAAAATCCTAAGATACCCACCAAATGAATGGACCCCCTCTTAGCCAAGAGGACCCCAGAAAACTCTTAAAAACTGAGTTCCCAGCCATGAAGGTAACAAAGGTTGGACATGCCTTGTTATATCCACTCTGTTTTGCAGTTTAGACACAACAATGGACCAGCATTCATGTTAAAACAGAGCTCATGAGAGTGACAGGCCAGGCGCGGTGCTCATGCCTGGAATCCCAGCACTTTGGGAGGCTGAGGTGGGTGGATCATTGAGGTCAGGAGTTTGAGACCAGCCTGGCCAACATGGTGAAACTCCGTCTCTACTAAAAATACAAAAATTAGCTGGACGTGGTAGCACGTACCTGTAATCCTAGCACTTTGGGAGGCTGAGGCAGGCAGATCACTTGAGCTCAGGAGTTTAAGGCCTGCCTGGGCAGCATGACGAAACTCCACCTCTACAAAAAATACAAATAATTAGCTGGGCATGGTGGTGAGTGCCTGTAGTCCCAGACTACTCAGGAGGCTGAGGTGGGAGGATCGCTTGAGCCCAGAAGGTGCAGGTTGTAGTGAGCTGAGATTGCGCCACTGGACTCCAACCTGGGCAACAGCAGAGTGAGATCCAGTCTCAAAAAAGAAAACAAAACAAAACAAAACAAAACAAAAACAAACAAAACCCAGTGCCAGAACAGACTCTTTATGGTAATAAAATACCAAATTATAAATGGGACACAAAGCCATGCCAGGCAAGGGTTAAGTCTCGCACCCCTATGCTTGAATAAACTGCGCTCTACCTGCCACGAGGCTTTTCCTTTCCTCCAGTGGCTAAACAAGCTCTGGCCTTGAGATAAGCAATGCTGGAACAACTGCAGCTCCCCTGGAGGCCGACTCACTGCCCCAGCCCCTGTTCCGCAAGTCACAACTACAGCTTCGACTGGACAAGAGACTGATTTCAGTGACCTTCTCCTGATAAGAAGACCACTGCCCCTGGACTGATCCTGGCTGGTTTACACAGGCTGCACACTTGAGTGCCTTCACATCCTGAAAAGACCCTTTCACCTATGGAGCCTAACTGTAATAGAGTTAAATGTTAATTTTCCACCCCAAAGTGAAAATGGGTCATATGTTACATGCATGTTTGTACATACATACACATGCACCAGGACCACCTTCCTAAATATCCACAGCTCCTCCCGTAACCTGTAGAATATGTCTACTTGGCCAACCACATTCAGCATAAAGCTCCAACCCCAACCCCTTCTTCTAAACGCCTGTCTCTGGTCTTTTCTGCACTGCCCAGCCCGCGGGATGGCCACCTTGCAGGCTGTAATCCTTTATAGGAAAGAAAGTCTCCTTTTCTAAATTGACACTTGTGTGATTTTTTTTTTTAAGTTCACAAAACAAAGAAACTTCTCCCAAAACTTCCCAGCCGACTTCCCCTCAGGTTCATTGGCCAGATCTGTGCCACATCACTCCTAAACAACTGTGGCAAAACCACCCTGACTGGCACCAGGACGTTGGTGGCTGTGGGGGGAGGTGGGCAAACAGGTTCTGTCAGGAGGGAGGGAGGGGTGAGGGTGTTGGACAGCACTCTATTGGTTTGGGTGTTGGGGGGTGGATGATAGAGGAGGCTGCCACCCAGGCATGGCGCTCCGGACCGAGCATGGCTCTGAGAGCAGGTGCTGGGGGCGGACTGATCGGGCCACCTGCTGGAAGAGGGGCCAACAGGCTTGACTGGATGGGGAGATTGAGGGAAAGGGAGGAATCCAGAATGAACACTGGGTTTTTGGCCTGAAAAACTGTGTGGGTGATGGTTCCATTTGCTGAAAGACTGAGGGTTAGGATAGACATTTCAGCTGAGATGCAGGGTTCTGTCTTTAACCATGGGAGGTGGGCTGAGGGGGTAATCAGTTGGATATGGGAGTTTGGGGCTCAGGAGACTGGCCTAGGCTAGGCATGCAACCTTGAAATTCATTGATGCATAAGTAATACTTAGAAACACAGGATCACATGAGATCCCTGGGGAGAGAGTGTGGAGTGAGGAGAGATCTAAGGGTGCAGTTTCTGGGACCCCCAGTGTTTAGAGGTGAGCGGATGGGCAGGGGCCAGTGAGGAGGGTAGGGCTGCAGAAGGAAGGGCCAAGGAGGGTGTGGGTCACTTGTGCCCAGTGTGGCCGAGAGCTCCAGGTGGATGAGGAGTGAGATTTGGCCATGCGCTTGGCAACACAGAGGCCATTTGGGGCCTCTCATGTTTCATTAAAGCCCTGGGGAGTGAAGCCATCTTTGGAATGGGTTGGACAGAGAACGGGAGGTGAGAAGGTGAAGAGGCATTCTTTAGAAGGGTTTTGTCATGACGCAGAGCAGAGAAACGGGATGGTAGACAGAAGGTCAAGGAGAGTGGGTTGTTACGTTTTTAAGGTGTTGTGTTTGTATGCTAGTGGGAGTGATCGGATAGCGAGGGAGAATTTCAGAAGAAAAGTCTCTGAGTGGGTGAGGCAGGGGCATGGAGCCTGAGTGGTGGCCCAGCCTCTGATGGGGCAGAGACCTTGTGCAGTGTGATAGAAGGTGGGCAGAGCCTGGAGTATAATGGGGATGTGGGAAACTGGACCCAATGGTGGAAAGATTGGGTAAAACCCATTTGGTATACATTAGTGCTTCTCAACACAAAGCAAGTTTTCTCAAGAGACATTTGGTAAAGACTGGAGGTATTTTTGGTTGTCGCAACTTGGGGGAGGGGGTGGTTTCTTACTGGCATCTGGTGGACACAGCCTGAGGATGCTGTGGAACAGCCCAAAATGCACAGAACAGTCTCCATGACAAAGAATTAAACGGCTCCAAATATCAATAGTGGCACTGTTGAGAACTGTGCTATATATTAATAACCACAATGCTAGCAAGGAAAATGTGGCTTGCACACCCTTAAAATAAATACTTATCTTTCGTGTGTTGGGAGTGGCTGCCCACCCACTGCCCTGCCCTAGGCAGGGGAGATCGCCTGTGTGGATACGTCCCTGTCCTAACTCACCCATGTCTTGGTGGTTACACTCTGAGGAGGCCGCCTGTCATTCCTCATCTGAGCTGGACAAGGCCAAACCTTGCCCAGGGGTGTGGCTATCAACTCTCCCGCAGACACCAGGCTTGGCTGGCCCACCTGCCGCTCCTGGTGGTGGCGGGTCTCAGTGCAGGCAGCTGACTGGGAGGGAGACTCAGAAGAGTGGGTGTCACCACCGTTATCACTGTGACATAAAACCAATTCCTTTGCCTTTGCCAAAACCTTTTCTGTGTTAGGCAGAGGCGTGGCAGCAAAGTTTTAAAGTACTGGGATGTGAGAAATCTCTTTCCCTTATATGGGACGTTTCTCTCTCTCTTCGTCTTGAGTAGGTTCTTTAAATTATCTTTCAGTGAGAACCCTATCATGCCATGTATGCTTTGTCCAAGGACAGGTCTTGGTAAGAAAAATGCCTCCTGTTTCCTCTCCAAAGACTCCTCCGCCATCTGTCAGTTTGGAAATCTCCACATCTTGACCCATGGCAAATTGCTTCTCAGCAGCCCTGATGTGGCACTTGCTTTAGGAGGCACAGGCAGAGGCTGCCAGCTGGCTGAGTGAACGGTCCATTTTAGGGATGAATGAACCAAAATCTCATCTACTCTCCCCATCTTAAAAATTACAGCCAGGTACCCTCCCACTCCTCTGAAGCCACACTTTTCTCTTCATCCCTTCTGTGCTGCTTCCAGTAGGGACCTCAGCATTTGGTGGCAGGAGGTGGCCTCTTCCCTGGGAATGCTGACCATGGGGTGGGTCTGTGTGGCACCACCTCCTAGGCCCCTTCCCCCACATTGTCTCGGAGGGAGCGGGCTCCTCTGCCTGGCACTGAAGGCCTGCTAGCACCTGGTTTCCAGCCTCATCTCCCACAGCTCACACTGAGCTAGACACAAGTGGAACTGCCAGCCACTCTCCAAATGTCCTGGGCCTTCCCCCATCGCTGGCCACCAGGGAGGGCACCACCTCACAGAGGAGCTCAGAACTATGCAAATACGCCCAGGTCGTCTCAACTCAAACTGGGCAGCCGAAAGTCAGTGTGAAAGTTCCAGGCTTTAGTGACACCTCTGCCCTGCCCTTACCCCACCCTGCCTCTGGAGGTGGCACAGGTGTGGTGACTGCCCTGCATCCAGTGAGGATGCCTGTCTGGGGCCGCTGGGGCAGGGGTGGAGCAGGACACAAACCCACAAAAATAAATTTCAATGATCACAAAGGTAGGGGTGAAACTAAATGTCTGAAAAAGCATCTTTTGACAATTTGCCATGTGGTGGGCTGGATTTTGGAGAATTGGCCTGTACTCTGAATGCAGGGGAGTCACTCCCCCTCCCACTAGGGACCCACAGGCTGGTAGATGCTCCACAGGTTGCCCCTCCCCCAGCATCCCTGCAGGGCTGGTCATCCTGGACCTGATGCCACTGACAGGCCTGTCCATGTGGGGATGTGAAAGCGGAGGTCCAGAGAGGTACTGTGGCAGGACCAGTGCCCCGGGGGGGATTCCAGCTCACTTTTTTCTTCTTAGGACCCCATTTCAATGCACTCGGGTTGGAGGGAGAGGGGGACAATGATAAATTCAAGGAAAAAAATCTGGATCTCATCCTCACATAGCTAACAAGTTAGTGAAAGGTGATTTAAGACTTAGACATGGTGCCTCTGCTCATTCTCCCACAACCCACCCAGCCAGGCTAGGGAGGGGGCAGGGGAAGCCCCCAGGAATAAGTGCTGTCGCGACTGTCCCTTGCCCCATTTATACTCCCCGGCAACAGGAGACTGATTTCTCTTGATCTCGTGTGGTTTGTTTGTGGTTGTGGTGCTGATGATTTCACTGTTAGAACTGAACAGGCTCACACAGGCAGGGCCACTGCAGGGGTCCCAGTGCCCTGGGTGGAGGGGCCACACACACAGCCTGAGCAGAAGTCTGCATCCTAACAAATAGCTCCTGCATCATGAGGTCTACAGCCCATGTTGGGCTCAGTTTCTCTTTTGCACATTGTAAAAACTGGATCACATTCAGGTTCAAAAGCCTCAGAAGTGTTTGGGATAAAACCATCCTCTGGGTTCTTGGGAGGCGAGACTGTGGCTCCTTTATAAACATGAATCACATAAAGAAACCACACAGATACCCCATGGCTAGCACTGCCCTGCTCCCTCCTTCTCTATCCCTGGAAACCCCAGTTTCACCCATGTACCCTGCTTTGTGCTGACATCTGGCTGCCAGGAGTGCCCTTACGAGGTGGTCCTTTCAGCCCACCCGTAACCCCAACTGTGCCAAGAGGGCCCCTCTCAGTCTCACCTCCCCTTCTCCACTCTGGCCCATCAAGAAGGAAAGGGTTCTGAGAAACTCACTCGTGCTCAGGAAAGATCAACTGACGGCAACCAGGTGTGTTCCCCTCCCAGGTCCCGGCTGTTTTTGGTCTCCCCCAACCTCTCCAGGTCCACCTGAGCCTTCATCTGCAGAGGTCTTGAGAAGGCTAGGGTGGTCCATCAGTCCGTTCTTGCATTGCTATAAAGAAATATCTAAGGCTGGGTAATATATAAAGAAAAAAGGCTTAATTGGCTCACGGTTCTGCAGGCTATACAAGCATAGCACCAGCATCGTCTTGGCTTCTGATGAGGCCTCAGCAAGCTTATGTTCGTGGGGAAGGTGAAGAGAGAGTGAGAGCAAGACAGAGAGGAGGAAGAGCCAGTCTCCTTTCAACAACCAGCTCTCCCGTGAACTGAGAACTCACTTATCACCAAGGGGATAGTGCTTGGCCATTCATGAGGGGTCCGCCCCCATGACTCAGTCACCTCCCACCCGGCCCCACCTCCAACACTGGGCATCTCATTTCAACATGAGATTTGGAGGGGACAAGCATCCAAACTATCTGGGGTGGGAAAATGATCCTGACACCAGGAAGCCTCCACTTGCCCTCAGCTCCACAGATGCTGCACAGCACGGCCTGTCTGCAGCCCAGGGGCCAGCCCAGCAGTCCCCATAAAGCCCCGGGAGCCATCGGTGGCCACTGGCTCCTTCTGCTAAATCCGGGGTGCTTCAGGAGGGCAGAGTTACTGTTTCAGATCCCAACATGGCCCTCTTGGGGAAAACAAATACGGCGTGATTGGAAAGCAGTCACCAGTGTGAAATGTATCCATCCACGCAGCTGCTCACCATACCCTGGAGATGAGTTTCTGCTGGGAGCCATCCCCGGGTGGCCTCTGAGAAAAGCCACAGCAGTCTGACCCCTGGCATTCCCAGCTGGGCCAGCCTAGCTCTGTTGGACCTTGTCCTCTATGTCCACAGGACATCCACCCTGGGTGACTTGTCCCATCCCTCCCTTATCTCCCCTGC